CCCAGTAGACCCTGCAGAACCTTACTGGAAAAAAAAAAAGTGGCTGTTTCCTTAGCAATGTAGTCTCTACTTCTGTAATGTTATTAGTGGCTGTCATTTCAGGACAACTGCTTCCAACTTAGTTTGGGGGATCATCTTGTAGATTGAGAGCCTTGGCTCCAACAGAACTAGTTCACTGATGGTCAGGCTTGAATCTGGAACTTTTTTATTATATGTTCACCCTCCATAGCTGGGCAGTTCCTTTTGCTCTGTACAACAGTTGCTTTGTGTTGAAATCTTATCTTCACTTAATATTTTTTATTCACAAGATAATTTGAATATGTTTTTATCTTAATATTCCCTAAAGAGTAAGAAGAGGCACATGGCACATGGCACATTCTATGACTCCCTTTTTTAAAAAATTGGATAAGCCATAGGAAAATGAAAGTGATTTCATACAAGTCAGGGATAGAATTGAGATTTCAAATCATATTCCATGAATATGCACACTGTTTCCTTCCCCAGGCTGCTGTTATTCTGCATTTGTAAATACTACCTTAGACTAACGTCTTTTGTTTCCTGTGTGTCTTTTCTTCAAAAAACTGGCCAACAGGTTTGTCTGTATAGTGCTCTGGAATAAGTAAATAATATGTACATAGGGCAGACTCACAACTCACAGCTTTTTTCTTCAAACCACTCACTAAATTATTGCACATAAATTCTTCTTTTAGCCCAGTTACTTCTTTCTCCTAACATTTGGAGAATAGGGTAAGATACTGATTTCAGTAAGATACCTTTTTTTTTTTTTTTCTTGCGGAACTGGGGATTGAACTCAGGCCCTTGTGCTTGCCATAGAAGCACTTTTTCTACTGAGCCATCTCCCCGGCCCCTTCAGTAAGATACTTTGAAAAGTTGGTGCAGTCTTATCTTTGAATCACTGTGTCTCTGAACATACCAGTAGTGAGTCTTGAATGGGCTCACAACTAATTCTACTTCATAATATTATACATAACAAGCAATCATGTAGTAGTAATGCTTCAGGGCAAGCACCCTACTACTGAACTGCATCGTTGTACAGAAGCCATTATTTGCTGTAAGTATAGTTACCGCTCAAGTAGTCCACATCTGTCTGATTTGTATTAACAAACCTGATAGAACTAAAATATAAAACAGAATTGTTGAAATAGGCTGGGTTAATTTTTTTTTTTTTTTCATTTCCCTTTATAGGTTTGGCAGTTCTCTACCAGTGGACCAATCTTTTCTTCCCCATGTACCTCTGCTTCAGAGCAAGAAATATTTTTTGGTTCCCATGATTGCTTTATCTACTGTTGTAACCTGAAAGGTCACCTTCAGTGGAAATTTGAAACTACTTCAAGGGTGTATGCAACGCCATTTGCTTTCCGTAACCACAATGGTAACAGTGAAATGTTGCTGGCAGCAGCGTCTACTGATGGCAAACTGTGGATCTTGGGATCTGAGAGTGGACAATTACAAAATGTATATGAACTTCCTGGGGAAGTTTTCTCTTCACCTGTCATCTGGGAATCAGTGCTCATTATTGGGTGTAGAAATAATTATATTTATTGTTTGGATTTACTGAGTGGCACTCAAAACTAGTCAAGTATAGTCCCAGTTTGTATATCTACTATCTGTAAGATGTTCAAAATACTTTACCATTATTGATCATGCACTTAGTCTTATTTTATATTAAAGATTATATTTTTGTTAATAAATTTGACTATTACATTTTTATAGAGAACCACTGCATTCTACTTCCTGTAGGGGCAGCAAACTATTAGGTATGAAAAAAAAGATTAATTAATTAATTATTTATTTGTTTGCAGAACCAGGGATTGAACTCAGGCCCTTGTGCTTGCCAGGCAAATGCTTATTCTACTGAACTATCTTACCCGGCTCCAGATTAATGTATTTAATAGTGCTTTCTTTTAGGTGTGATGGTTAATTTTATGTTTTAAAAAATTTAAGCTAAAAAAAGATTAAGTGTTCTAAGAGATGCTGCTATAGTTAGAATTCCCCACCAAAATTCATGTTGAAATATAATTCCCATTGTGAGATGTTAGAAGGACAGAAACTTCATTCTACTGTGGTATTTGGAGGGGGATGTTGGGAGGGGGTTAAATCAGGCCACAGAACAAAGGCCTCATCCAATGGGACTGCTTTATAGGAAGAGAAACAGACTAGAGACGTTTTGTCTCACCCTGTGATGCCCCAGGCCACTCTAAGACTTTGAAGAGTCCCCATAAGCAAGAAGGACCTCATTTGATGTGACCCTATGCCCTTCAGCTTCTCAGCTGTTAGAACTGTAAGCCAAATAAGCTTGTATTCTTTGTAAATTAGTCTGTGCCATTTATTTATAGCAACAGTTAATGGATTGAGGCATATGTCCAGATAGCTTGGTAAAACACTGTTTCTGGTATACCTATCAGGATGTTTGTAGAACAGATTAACATTTGATTTTGATTTTTTTAAAATTTATTTATGTGTGTGTGTGTGTGTGTGTGTGTGCCCAGCTCAGCCCACCAGGGGGCGGGCTGGCTGGCATGTGGTGCTGGGAGATTGAACCGTGGTCCCTTTGCTTTGCTAAGCTTGTTCTAAGTAGGTGCTTTAGACCACTGAGCCATCTCACCAGCCCCATAACATTTGATTTTGAATCAGCAGCCACTACCTTTCCATGTTTCTTGGGCCTGCAGATTATATCAGGGTTATTCCTGGTACTGAGGTATTTAGATTTGGAATAAATGTTACACTTCAGGTTTTATGAGTTTCCAGGTTGCAAGCAGTCTGGTGGGACCTCTTAACCTTCATAATCAGATAAATCAATTATTGTAATCTGTAATCTCTTTTATATATGTATCTCTCATTGGTTGTGTTTCTCTGGGTTTAGAGCCCTCATGAGGATACCCATTTCTTTTCCATATACACAGACACAGAGACAGAGAGACAGGTATAGACACACAGAACAGTTTAAACTAGATAGATCAAGTTGATACATCAGTTTGTTTGTTTTTTTGGCAGAACTAGGGATTGAACTCAGGCCCTTGCGCTTGCAAGGCAAGCTTTTTTCTACTGAGCTATCTCCCTGGCCCCAATACATCAGTTTTAGGCATTCACTGTTTCTCAATTTACAGCTCAAGCCCTCTTCCCCAAATTTTAGTGAAGACACAGCTGCTGTCTTTGAAGTTCTAAGTGCTCAACTTGTGGCCACCACCATTAACACTGGGCACTGTTCCCTGTCATGGCCATTACTACCAGGCTTCCTCACATTTCCCATCTTTGGGTCAGTTGCTTCCAATTTATTCTCTTCCACTGAAAGTGAAATCAGTTCCATCCTACTGTAAAGTGGTATAGGAGAGCACATAGGCATTTCATCTGTGGTGGGACAGAGCTGCCTCCCACCAAGACTAACAGGTTGGAAGTCCTCCAGGCACAGGGAGTTTAGGTGCTCGCTGTAAAAAAAAAAAAAAAAAGAACTGCTTCTCTTACCTTTCAGGTCAGTGCATCTCAAGCCTTACTATACATACTTACCACCTGGGTCTCTTTCTGTAAGATGCACATTAGGGTTGAAGAAGGTGGGGAGGGGTTGTCCCTGAGCCACACTGGAGCCTGACACAAAAGGGAAAATCAGTAATACTGATTGTGTCTTTAAATTTTTTATTTTTCATTCATTGGGGAATTTTTTGCATTAATTTTGGTTTTTATAAATGTTTGTTTTGATATTCTTGTGATTATTGAAGTTTTTGACAGCTGAGGCAAATGCTCTGCATGGCTAGCTCCTTTAGCCTGGTCCAGCTGGGCAGTCAGCCTGCACCGTATGCACCCAGGCTCTTGGCTGATGCTGCCCTCTGTACTGTCAGGAGGCTGTAGGATCATTCTGTCTCAGACCATTCAGTTCCAGTTTAGGATTGCGGTAAGTATTTATCTCTGTTCATTTTTCTTCCTCCCAATACTTACTGAAAAATGTAATAAAGTACCATATAAAACACCTTGAAATTTTCTTTTCTTTTCTTTTCTTTTTTTGGCAGAACCGCGGATTGAACTCAGACCCTTGCGCTTGCCAGGGAAGCGCTTATTCCACTGAACCATCTCCCCAGCCCCATTGAAATTTTCTTGTTCATGCAAAGCTGTGTAAATATGAGGCCACTTAGTCCTTAAAAGTAGTAAAAGTTTCAATTCAGAAAGGAAATTTTCATCAATGCCAAAGATCTCGTTGGTATTTTTTATTGAAAGATCTTTTCCCTTCAGTAATGGACATTGTACATTAAAACTTTATACAACCAAAACTCTCAAAATAATATTAAAATCACACTAAGTTATTTTCATTAAGTCTCTACTAATGTTATTGGTAGAAATATTGCAAGACACTTGTAGCTAATGTTTCTGCTTTAAAATAAGCAATTAAACTAAACGTCACAAGAAGAGACAATGAATACATACTATACACTTGCGGATAACTGGCTAAAATGATAATAGTAATGTTTGTGTAAGAAACAATTGCACTTGAAAAATTAAAAAAGTAAACAAAAAGCTCTAATTTTATATATAAGCCTATGAACAAAGGTTAATGATCTATATAACCTTGCTGGGAAAAGTGTGTCTGTTTAATTAAAAAAAAAACATATCTAATATAACATTCATTTTAAAAAGAAAAAACTATCTTGAACTTCGAATATTTTCACAGAATTTCCCCATAGTTTGTTGCTTGAAAAGACTGCAACACAACCAAAGCAAAATAACACTTCATTGGTATGTAGTGCAAATTTGGGATGTATTTGTAAATGAAATGTTAAACATGTACCCTTTAGAAGCTGGTAAAAGTACTGCAGCTGTCCTTTCCTCGGTAGACTCTTCCTTTAAAAACCTTGTGAAAGATCTTTTTTTTTGTTTGTTTGTTTTGTTTTTGTTTTGGTGGTGGGGACTGGACCCAGGGATCACTGAGCTATATATCCCAGCCCTTTTGAAATTTTATATTGAGATGCTAAATTGCCCAAGCTAGCTGGCTTTAAACTTATTCTCCTGCCTCAGCCTCCAGAAAAGCTGGGATTACAGGCCTGTGGCACTGTGCCTGGCTGCAAGAACACTTTTAACTGAGGCCTGTCCTGTTAGTTTGGGCTAGGTAGTGTCCGAGCCAGCTGACTCATGTACCATTCTTTAATGATCTTATTTCCTTACCTGTTCCCTGCTACTACTGTGGTATTGTCTAAAACAGATCAGATGAAAGAAAAAGTCAGTTTGGAAGGATCATGGGAGTACTATAGTTCCAGGACTGTAGGTGAAAAGATTGCCATTAAAAAGTGTTATATTAGTGAGGAAGTCATTGAACTAACAAATGCCTACTTATAAGATTTAGAAATGAACATCAGTATGGAAAAACGTGCAGTGGAATATTAATTGCTTCCAATAGCAATGAAAATATTACATTGATTCTTAACAGTCTGAAGGTCCAGTATATATAACATTAAGTCCAACTTGCAAGAGTACAACTATTCACTTGACCACACATGCCAGCTGCTACAGTGACGCTGCACCACTGCTTCTAGAAATACGGTAAATAACTTTTCTGTCATTCTTTATGGAAATGACAGCATAACATCACACTGCATACTGAGTAAGCGTAAAGAAATGATAAATACTATAAAATGTTTTTGTAAGGGAAGAAAAGGATGTAATTCACCCTGTACCAGGCAAAGATTTTATTTGGGAGTAAGAATCGAGGAAAAGGGAACCATGACATGTGAAGTTAGTGCCAGCAGTATGTAGGGTATTTGCTGGTATGTTTCATGGAGCGCAAATTTAGGGAAATAAAAGTAAGTGTGGCTTTGAAACCGCCAAGTCCCTTCTTTGAATGTACATGTGCATGATAACAAGGCCACTTAAAACTCTGAGATTTTTTTTTTAAAGGTAGCAAGGTGAATGCTCTAAATTATAAATGCTACTGAACATTTGACTCTAAATATGAATTACTCAATTAGAGTAAAAAAACCTTTCTGTACGAACTCCTTAGTACAAAGGCTGTTGATCTTGGGTTCCCTTTAATGTTCTTTAAAGACCCAAGGGAATTTTCAGAGACATACAGTGTCAATAGCCTGTTATATCTTGTAATAATGGCTGGTTTGCATGCTTTTTTTTTTTTTTTTTTCCTGACCTTTTGCTTCTTTGAATGAGACTCCCCTCCAAGTCTGAAAAACCAGATTACCCAGAATCAGTGTGTCCAAAGCGTTCAACCTTCAGGTCAAGGCAGAAAGCACCTGAAGAGTATCTGCCAGCATGTGCTGTCCTGCCCCTGCCCTCCCAGCCTCGGATCAGTAGGCCTGGGGCACAGCCCAGACATCTGAAGAGCCACTGCACTCCATGGAGAGACAGAGAGAGCTCTTAGAACTCTGATGCAAAATTTTCTTTTTGTACCATATTAAAGAAAAATGTCCCCTGGGAGCCAGTTGGGCCAAGCGTTTCACATGTCCTTAAAGAGGGTACTAGTGTCATGGGCCTCACAGTGTGCTGATCGCACTGCATCCAGTGTGGTGGAAGTGTGCATGGATTTGCTTCTGTGTCCCAGCTTTGGGGTGGGCAGTTTGTAAAAAGCAGACAGAGGCACAGAGCTGGGAGCCAGACTCCTCCTTGAGGTTCCCAGTGACTTCCTGCATTCAGGAGATGGCCTTCTTGTTTTCTCTGTATATAACTCTTTAACTTTACTGTAGGAAGGGTAGACATACCCAAACGTGTAAGGCAAATGCTTTTGAAAGAAGAAACCAGGAGAAACAAATACCTTCACAAAGATTGGCAAAAGTGTGTGTTCTGAATGGCCTGTAGATGTGCCTCTGTGCAGTGGAGGGATCAGGGCATGGGTGCAGCAGACTCTGGAGGAGCTCAGTTTGCAGACCGGATTTCACATGGTCCCTCAGACAGAACTGTCTCTTGAGAACTAGGGGAGCTCAAGGCACCAGGACCTAGGGTTGTGCAAATACACTCTTTACAATGACCACCACGGTTCAGTTTCTAAACATTACTTGAGCGCCTATAAAACATGCTTCTTTTTCCTAGCTTGCTTTCTTTAATTCATATAAAAAATAAATAAATAAAAAGGGCAAGAGAGGAGCCAAGAACTGGCAATAGGAGTGGATGAGTCACTCTACTTAATAATCTGTGGACAGTCGCTCCAGGCCTTCGCTTTTCTTTTGGCCAAAGCCAGCCAGGCTGGTTCTGTAGACACAGGGGCAGCATCCGGGGTGGAGAATCTTTTCGGGACTTCTTTCACCAGTGGTGCTGGGGGTGCCGAATCTGATATTTCCACTGGATTTTGATGTAAAGGAAAAATACAAGTCAGACTTAAAATGTAAAAGAAATTTTTTTTAATGAACAGAAATGTATATACTTGTGTATAATAAGATGTTTTGAAATAGGCATACACTGTGGAATGGGTAAATCAAGCTAATTAATTAGCATGCACTGCTTCACAAGATTATCATGTGTGTGCAGAGATCACTTTTCAAAAATACAGTTTTTGTGCACTAAAGTCACCTGATTTTAATTATACATAATTATAATTAAGTAATTTATTTTTGCTGGGGATTGAACTCAGGACCTTGAGCTTGCCAGGCAGGAACTTATGCCACTGAGCTGTCTCCCCAGCCCTGCACAATACGTTTCTTGAACTTACTTGTTTTACCTAACTGAAGTTGTGCATCCTTTACCCAACCTCTCAGCACCCCAACTCCAGAATGGTATTTTGATTTATTACAAATACAAGATTCACAACAGAAAAATCCAGTGAAACACAAGTGAGGCCAGTCTCTGGGCAGGTTCAGTGAGAAGATTTGGGAAAGCAATCTTAGATTGTGATTACTGCATACAGAGTAACAGTGATTCAGTGCAGCTGATTCTCATTTTGGTTTCTAGAAGCCTAGCTGTCTATGCAGTGGATCTATTTCCATGAAAAGAAAATTAAAGGCAAATTGTGTGACTGCAGTCAGGCGACTCATCAACCCATAAAGAAAAGCATCCCACTAGCACTTTGGATCTGTCAAGGTGGCAAGATTAATGCTGAGGTACCTTCTCCAGTAAGTATCCTTGGGTTCTTCTACCTGAGCCCCACAGAATCTGCCAGCTCTTGAAATTTGCAGTCTGCTTAGTGATTGCTTTTGATCACAGTGCTTTCTTTACAGACCTCTGAGAGAAGGTGAGAGTGCTCACATCTTCTCTTTGGGTCACGTGTGCTCCTAGAACTCAGGAGATGCTGGTTGACTGAAAAGACAAATACTTCAAAACAAAGACTTGCTTTTAGGAAGCTGGAGCCACTCTGATTGCAGTAACTCTCATGTTTGCAAACAGGCAGAGAAAAATATGATCTCTGCATGTTGTAGTTTTCACTTTATTTTGAAAGAAATTGTTATATTTTCTTTCCCTTTTCCCTTTCTCCTCATTTCTGAATTTCTGGTTTTAACATTTAGAGCCCTTGTCGAGCATAGTGGCAGATGCCTGAAATCCCAGCATTCGGGAGGCTGAGCGAAAGGATCACCACAAATCTGAAGCTATTTTGCACAGCGTAGTGAGTTCAAAGTCAGTCTGACCTACAAAGCAAGACCTTGTCTCAAAAAAACAAAAACAAAACAAAAATTACCAAAAAACCCCACAGAGAGCCCTTAATTCCTGTGTGTAAGATCAAATAATGAGTGTGTAAGAGAAATAACAGTGTTTTAAGTGGCTTTCAAGGGCTGGTGAGATGGCTCAGCAGACTAAGCTCCTGCTTAGGCAAGTGCAGGGATTGGGCTCAATCCCTGGTGCCACACGCTGGGCTGGCCCTGTCCCGGGGTGCACTGAGCCAGCCACCGAGACTGGGTGTGGTGGCACCTGCCTATAATCCCAGTGCTAGGGAGGCTGAAAACAGGAGGATCACTATAAGTCTAAGCTGCATAGTGAGACCCTATGTACCAAATACATAATAAATAAATAAAGTGGCTTTCAAATATAAAGAGCCTCTGTCTAAGGCCATACTTCCCTAAACACACCCAATCTTATCTGTCAAATATAAATCACCCATACTACCACCTTACCAAGTAGTAAACAAATCCTTAATAGTAAGATGTCATCACATTCTCAGACCTCAGCTAGACAGTTAGCCAAGACAGACAACCTAGGTCTGGGGATTGGATGTTGCTGTGATTTGAGTGTGTCCCCCAAAGGTTCATGTGTTGGAACCTTACTTCCTCTAGATGGCAGTATAGGGAGTTGGGGAGGTTCCTAAGACATGGAGGTAGTCCTCACAAATAGATTTGTGCCCTCTTTGGATGAAGAGGTCTGCTACCACAAGCTTATCCTGTGGCCCAATCCACTTCCCATTATAAGCCAAAAAGGCATAGAGCCTCATTAGATCCAGCTGCCCAGTCTTAAACTTATCTTCCTGATAGAAGAGCTAAGATAAAACTCTTTAGAGATAACTCACTCGCAGATATTTTGGTATAGTAGCAGAAAGTGGACTAAGGCAGATGCCCTTTGTAAAACAAGCAGCACTAAGAGAAGGAGAGAGAAGTGGGTTTCTGGGACCCAGGAAGGATCTGAAGCAAAATTGACACCCACGTGGAACAAAGACAAAGACTTCAATGAAGAAAAAGGAAGTTGCAAATGGAGCTTGCTCCTGACTCACTATGTGGGAGAGGTGGCTCACACCTGAAGATACATGGTGACTACTGGGGACCCCAGAGGCCTCCACAGAGAAATACGCCAGTAGAAGCAATGGACTGCAGTGGCTGGTGCATTATTTGGGTTGAGTCATCCCCTAAAGACAGTGATTGCTGGTAGAGGGGCCAAATAAGCTCAGAACTCAGAACAGCTGTGGGCTGGTTCCACCTAGTAACTCCCAGTGCCAGGGTGAGGCCGCTCAGTTCAAATTGGCAGGGAGCCAAATGCAAGCTGGCAGGAGCTACAGGAAGCATTGGAGGATAAACAAATTGAGTTCCAGCCTCCTAGCCAGAAACCAGTCTGAACTTCAATAGGACTAAAGGTGCAAGCTTCCTGGGATTAGCCACTAATCTCCCTTAAAACTACTGCTGGCTTTCTGGGATTAATCAGCACAGATCTGGGTTCTGTCTGTCTACTCTGTCCAACCAGTGACAAAGACATGCCTTGAGGTGGACTTTATTTTCTTATTTCCCCCCTTTTTTTCTTGTTTTTCTCTTTTTTTCATTGATTGTTTTTGTTTTTATGAGCATCAACATAGTTTCTACAATTTTGTTGTTGTCCTGGTTGATATTTCTTGCTTCTCTCTTTCCCTCTTTTTACCACTTTCCCAAAGTTTGCGTAACTTCCTTTGTTCTCTAGTCTTTCTTCAAATTTCTTACTACATTATTTCTCTACTTTTTCTCAATAATACCTTTTAACTTTCTCCCCAAGGGTAAAATCACCTAATGAGGGGTTATTTACCATAAATAACTTTCTGGTTTGTTTTAGATTTCGTTATAGACCCACAAACAGTTCATATGGTTAAAGATGGCAAGTTAATAGTTACTACAGTTTGTCATTTCCTAGGCTGAGTTTGAGGCTACTGTTACTGCTGACTGTACTACTTTAGCTAAGGTGACATAACTGTTCTAATCAGTTTTTCTTCCTGGTATGCCAAGACTGAGGCTACCTACGACTCAGAAGCAAGACTATAGGCTAGTGCCAAACAACCAGGGATCAGGCCAAGCAGGCACAACTTCTCATCCCCAAGAAATTGAAGAGGTAGGATCTTGTAGCAGACTCAAAACTCAAAAACCATCTACACCTGGAAGACATCTCTGAAAAGTAGTCATTTCCTAAGAGTTCTAAGGAAAGTAGCCATAAGCTACTTGCCATAAGCAATTTACAAGGACTAACTAAGCAATTAAACTAGAAAAACATAGAAAATTAGAAGATGCTTAAGCGAGGTGCAGCCCCAGACTTCCAACTCACCAAAGACAAACCCAGAGGGGAATGAGGTAGAAGAAAGCAATAGCCTCCCACCTGGACTCTCTGAAGTGGTAGCAGTGGAAGTATCAAAGCAGAGGAAGGAGCCTCTAGAAAAACCATCAAAGCAGAAATAGTTTCTGAGATAACCACAGCGATGGTGACCACAATGAAAGACTTGGTCAGTGACTCTGGAGCAGATACAGATAAAAAAATAGAGGAGCTTAGGAAAATGATGGAAACATGAACACAACGTAGGAAACAAATGGAATTCATGAAACGGATTTGAACAGATATCCAAGAGATTAAAACTTCCAGTGAAAGAATATGCTGCAGAATGAGCCATTGTGAAGAGAGAGTATCAGATGTAGGAGACACGGTTGTGGTTAGTGATCATGAAAAAGATTTCTTAAAAATAGCAAGGGCATACAAAGAATCAATCCAACTGCTCCTAGGGGATGCAAAGAAGAATAATGTAAGATTGACTGGAGTCAATAAAAAAAGCAGGACATAGCACCAATGACATAAAAAATGCACAGAAGTAATGGCAGAAAACTTCCCAAGCAGGTAAAAATAATTTGACAAATAAGTGAGGCATATATCACTCTAATTAGCCATGACAAAAAATCTATAGCAATGCATATACTAGTCAAGGGGCCAAAAATTCAACACAGAACAGAACAAGAATAGAACATCACCTATAAAGGAAACTCCATCAGAATTACAGTAGTTCTCTAAACACACTTAAGTCAAGGAGAGCTTGGAGTGAAGTATTTCAAGCCCTAAAAGAAAATAACTTCAAAACCAGATTGTTGTACTCCACAAAACTATCTTACAGAACTGATCTGTAGAACTGATCATGCGAAACTGATGGAGAAATAAAATATTTCTATGACAAAACAAAGAATACCTAGAGAAATTCATGACCATCAAAGCAGCACTCCAAAATGTCCTGAAATATATTCTAGAAAGAGATAATAAGGACCACAACTCCATGAACCCCAACAGAGTGAATCCACTATGCAAGGCAAGCAATTAGAGGAGAAAAAGGGAACCAACAGGAAAGGGAAAATAAAATGACATGGATAAGTCAATACATATCTGTTATAACCATCTATGTTCATAGTCTCAATTCACCAATCAAAAGAAACATATTGGTAAAATGGATCAAGAAGCAAAATGCAACAATATCCTGCATATTAGAAACATTTAATTCAAAAAGAAATTCATAGACAAAGGATGAAAAACAATACTCCATGTGACAGGAACCCAGAAATAAAAGCAGGGGTAGCTATGCTATTTGCAGACAAGGTGGATGTCAAGCCAAGGGATTGACGGAGATAAAGGGAGACAAAGAGGGTCACTATATT